TGCAACGGCAACTCGTGCTGGATGAGCAGAGCAGACTTTTGCATTAGTTTATAGGCTAATGGTTTTTATTTTTTTATAAAAACAACAAAACGATAGTTTAGGCGAATGTGAGTGTAGCGGTGAAATATTAATGGGGATATCGCGAGACAGCTTTTTCACTCGACGAGAAATCTCGTCATATTTAGTCTCGCGAGATCTCGTGGCACGAGATCTCGTCACACCCCTAATAAATATGTTATTTTATGCCAATTTCATACTTTGTTTGCTTGAAGCATTTGATTTCCTGGTGCATTTTCTCCATTCAGTTTGTGTAGGTAAAAATGAGCAGTGATGAACTTGGATGATATCAACGAAAACATATTTGTTGTATACTGTATATATTTACAAATTTTGCCCTTGATTTGAAGGCATTCTCTGTTCAGTTCTGAATCTCACACAGCCCTGCTCTGTTCTGGATAAACCCAGACATCAGAGAACAGGGATGTTGACTTTGAGACCTGTGTATTTCTACCTGTCATTCATAGATATAAAGGTGTCCTTCACAGGTCTGAAGAGCATTGACCCTTTTAAAAGCCATATCTCCTTGCTGTTGAAAATCATCTGCAGCCGCACGCACACAGAATTCATCTCAAAGTAAAGCCGCTCCAGCCTGAAGCTTTTTCCAGGCTGCTTCTTCGAGGCCAAAGGCACAAACTAAAGGCCAAAAGTTCCTCTTTTGAACCATCAACAAGAGAAAGATGTTCCTTCTTTAAAAAAAATCGCCTCTGTTCCCATCAGCGGGAGGCCACCGAAGATTCCTGTCTCCGAGGATGTTTTTAAAGATGCCGCAAGCCGTAAGGAATAGCAAACTTACTTCACAAAGCGACGGTCCTGACAAATGATGGATCATCGGTTCCTGGCGCCGTGGGAGCGAACGCTTCTGCCGGGCGAGGAAGAGCCTTCTGTGTTGACAGCTGAGATAGGAATAGCAAATAAGAGCATGACAGTGTGGATGCTGTATTTGGCTTTGTGAGAGGCGGAGAGCGATGCTGCCCAACGCCTGGCGGATTAGGATCATGGAGGACAGCCATCCGCTCAAATGGAGACGGCTTATTTGACTGCGGGAAGTGATCCTGTGCGTACACCACCGGATGGAGGGTGAGCAGAAGCATGCTGTCATTGTTTGACAGTTACGAACACTTGCCATTTATAGAGACCTCGCTCGGAAGATACGACTTCGTAACGTTTTCACATGACACAGATTATAAAATCCCATTTTCAACCTTTCCCTACAATTTGCTGGCTGCGTTCTGCAATACAACATCCACTTTTCACAATCCAGTCAGTTTTCAAAGGGAAAAAAATCAGCACTGCCCTGTTATGTATTTATTTTTTATTTAGACTAGACTACTGTTCAAAAGTTTAGTGTTAATAAGCTTTTTTAATGTTTTTGAAGTCTATTCTGCTCATCAAGACTGCATTTATTTGATCAAAAATACAGTACAAACTGTAATATTGTGAAATATTATTACAATTTAAAATAACTGTTTTCTATTTGAATGGATGCATTGTAAAATGTAATTTGCTCCTGTGATGCAAAGCTGAATTTTCAGCATCATTACTCCACTGTCACATGATCATTCACAAAATCATTCTAATATGCTGATTTGCTGCTCAAGAAACATGTATTATTATTATCAATGTAGAAAATATTGACAGTTGTGCTGCTGAATTTCTTGTGTGTGTGTGTGTGTGTGTGTGTGTGTGTGTGTGTGTGTGTGTGTGTGTGTGTGTGTGTGGAAACCCTGATTCATTTTTTCAAGGATTCTTTGATGAACAGAACGTTCAACAGAACAGAATTTATTTGAAATATAAATATTTTGTAACATTACTTATAAATGTCTTTACCGTCGCTTTTGATCAATTTAATGCATCCTTCCTGAATAAAAGTGTTAATTTCCCCCAAAACGTTTAATGACCCCAAACTTGTGACCAGTAGTACGTGTTTTAGTTTGTGGGCAATTAGTGAGCAAACAGTTACAGTATATGTACAGCTGCTTTACATGAATATTGTGCGTTTCATCTTGTCAATTTCTGCAAGTGGCTGAAATGATCAGCTTTTTCTTTTTCTTTTTTTTATTCTGGTAGTGTATTCTGAAATTCTGACCTTGAAAATGAGATGTGGCATGCAGCGTTTCCTTGCGGATACTCTTCGTGCACAAACCAATACAGAAATGGAAGTATTTTAGTAAGTCAGCTAAAATGAACCCAGAAATGTAATATTTGCCATTTGGCTTCCCCTGCAGGCACAGGGTAAGCTTTTTTTAAGCGCATGCAGGATGGCTGCAAATGAGCACATGTGAACTCCACAGCCATTTCTATTCTAATTCCACTTGCTCGCTTGGTGTGGTTTAAAAACTTCTGCGGGTCACTTTCAGTAAATGAACCACCTACTTCCTGGCAAGTTATAAAGTGTCGCTCTTGCCTGGGGACAGAACGAAAAGCTGTTTCTGGACTTATTCGTACTTAATCATTACATGAGTGCTGTGTTACACTGCAGGTTTTTGATGTCGCACAATTGGGAAGTTATAATTGGTAATGCCAGTTTTATTTATTCCACAGGTAACGTTTTGACAACAGCTCTAGTCTAGACTGATACTCTTTCACACACGGCTATGATGACTCTATTACAGCCACTGGCTGTTCACCATTGGGGAAGTGGGTCAAATATGTTAACATAAGGGATTATGTGCAGTCAGCGTGTCACAAAATAAACTCTGGTTTGACGTGACACCCTGAAGCCGGCTGCTGCATGGGTGTATTTTGGGGGATGATTCTGCCAGTGTTATTAGGAAGTAAATGAGTAAATGATGTGCTTGTATTTTCCACTGTCTTCATCATAGTGCTCATTAAATAAGCTTTTTAGTATCACAAACCATATTAGGTGCATACGTGACAAATCTCCCATTCTGTGCGTCATTGCAGATAATACAAATATTTTATTCAAAAAATGGCTTCCTTCCTTCCTTCCTTCCTTCCTTCCTTCCTTCCTTCCTTCCTTCCTTCCTTCCTTCCTTCCTTCCTTCCTTCCTTCCTTCCTTCCTTCCTTCCTTCCTTCCTTCCTTCCTTCCTTCCTTCCTTCCTTCCTTCCTTCCTTCCTTCCTTCCTTCCTTCCTTCCTTCCTTCCTTCCTTCCTTCCTTCCTTCCTTCCTTCCTTCCTTCCTTCCTTCCTTCCTTCCTTCCTTCCTTCCTTCCTTCCTCTCTTCCTTCCTTCCTTCCTTCCTTCCTTCCTCTCTTCCTTCCTTCCTTCCTCTCTTCCTTCCTTCCTCTGTCTTAAATGACAGTTTTCTCTTATCACTCTAACTAGTCATGAGACTCAACAGTGCTGTCCAAATAGGGAGAAAATAGACTCGAAATACTTCAGCTCCATGATGCTATATTTATTCAGTGTTCTCACGTGGAATATTCCAGATGCAACTTTTGACAAGTTTTAGTGAATGCAGGTGAATTTCATTACTGCTAGCTCTCCTGTCAGCGATACGGACATGCATCTCTATTCTGAGAAAGAACAGCCAATAGGGGATGTTTTAGATTTCTGCTCTGTCCACATGCTTGAATTATTTTTTAATGGCATTCATCTGACAAAGAATACTAATATAATAATACTGCAGTGTGTGACCATTAATAAAGTATTTATTTGTGTGTTATAGTGGTCTGCAGGACCTTTTCTTCTTTCTTCGTTCTTTCATCTCATGCCATTTGTCCTACGCACCTGCTCTTAAACAGCTTGTTTGTGTGTTTGAGAGTTTTATTTGCTTCTTTGTAAAGGCATTGAAATGATTTGTTTTCAGGGATAGCCTGCATAGCATCTACCATCTGAATTCCACAGAAAGAGCTGGAATGCCTTTATTTATAAAATTCAAAGTCCTTGCATGTTTATTTGTTTTTTTTCTCATTATAAATGCAATTTAATAGGGCATTGAATAAATGCTAGTTAAAGAAAAGTTCAAATTAAAACCAGACATGTGAAAATGCAGCTATAACAGACAAAAACTTTAACTTTGTACACTGTCACAGACATGTGAAGTTTGTTACTGACTTGTGCTCTTATGCCTGCCCTGTTTAGAGTTCAAAGTGATTTTATACTTTTGCTAATTTTGTTTGCTGAACTTTGGATGGAATTTAAAACATTTTAGCAATGGCATGAGGAATGTGGATAATTCAGTCTTGCTCTGTTGAAGAAATCTCCAAATACATTTTTTACATTTTAAAGAAACGTTTTTTTCAGGCTTGACAATGAAAAACACATTGACAAATTCAACGCCCACACTTGACGCTAAGGAGGCATATTTTTATGTTTCTTCTTTTTATTTACAGTTTTGAAATGCACATGAAATAAAAAGTGGCATAAAATCAAGAAGACATTTAGGACTTTTTTTTTTCAGCCAATTTTTCTTTTCTCCAACTTGGAAAAGCGAGTTCTGACAGTGGCATAAGATCCATCCTTTAAAGACACAAAAGATAAATATGAATTAAAGACTCTGTTCCACAAAAAAAAAAACTGTCTAGTTCCTGGCACATACAAATAGTGTGCAAAACAGTCTATTTTAAATGTTATATATTTATATGTGTGTGACAGTTCTGCATGTCCATTTCCATTTAAACTTTTGTACCTATTTTCAGCGAAGTGATTAAAAGTCCCCCTCGATCCCACAAAACTTCTTACCTTCCCTTTGATTTACAGTCAATGCGAGGCAGATAAGAATTAATTAGTAAAATGTTCTCTATATAGATCTCACTTTCTTGCACCCAGTCAAATTGCTGGGGGCCGACCTTGGATTTTCCTGCATTATTGATGGCTCTAATCTAGAACAGCGGCGTAATTAAAAGAGCGAATGGAATGGAATATTAACAAAGCAAAATGATGTACCAGTGTCTGGCAAATGGGCTGTAATTGGAAACGTAGACATAGTAATTAAAGGCTGGTCTGTTTACCCAAGACGTTCTTCTCGTTGAAACAGGTCTCTGGGCACCCGTTGGCAGACACGCAGACTCAGGGCCAGGTCCTGGCTAATAGCGTCCTGTGGGGACAAACACCCATTAACCAGTCCACGCCCTGGGACACAGACGAGCCGCCTGCAAAACAGATGAGGGAGAAAGATATCGCAGGTAAAAAGCTGAAAGCAAAGGCACCAGCTCTACAATAACACCTCTTGTTCATTGTCTTTTCATGCGTGGGTAGATTGATTGCTCGAAGTGGCTTCAAAGGGGTGAGTGATATGGCAAAAATATCATATGATTTTTTTCAGGCAAGATCCACGATCTTATCACTTTTTTTTTCTTTTTTTTTTTGCAGGTTAGTTTTTCAGAGACAGAATGAGCTTTTTTCACCAAGTGTGCGCTAACACAAGAAATTTGTTGTGTTTTTTTTTCAGGAGCTCTTGGTACATACATACATGCATATATGACACAAATACAAAGAACATCGGTAACACTTTACAATAAGGTTCATTTAGTTAACATCAGTTAACTACCTTAGTTAACATGAACTAAGAATGAACAATACTTCAGCATTTATTAATCTTAGTTAATATGAATGTCAACATTTATTAATACTTTATTAAAATTGTATTAGTTACCATTAGTTAATACACTGTGAACTAACATGAAGAAACAATGAACAGCTGTATTTTTATTAACTAACATTAACAAAGATTAATAAATACTGTAACAAATGCATTGCTCATTGTTAGTTTATGTTAGTTAATACGATAACTAGTGTTGACTAATGAACCTTATTGTAAAGTGTTACCAGAACATTTAAATAAGTAAGACTAATAAATAATATAAAATAAAATAATAATAATAAAGTGGTATCTGGAACAGAAGACTTATGTACAGGTTTGTGCATTATGTACTGTATATACAGCTGCAAAAAATAAAATAATAATAAAGTGGTGTACATATGGAGCAGAAAACGTATGTACAGATGTGTGCATTATGTACTGTATATACTGTATATACATATTAAAGGGTTAGTTCACCCAAAAATGAAAATTATGTCATTAATGACCAGCCCAGTCTCATCCCAAGATGTCATCTGTCTGACGCTTTTGACCATACGTCAACATCCGACGTTTTAGGGTACCCTTTAACGTCAGTTAGATGACGCTATCTAATCCTAACCCTACCCCAGACCTAAACCTACCCGCGTCATCTAACTGACGCTAAAGGTAAAGCGTCAGTTAGATGACGCCCTAGGATCGTCATCTAACTGATGTTAAAGGGTACCCTAAAACGTCGGATGTTGACGTATGTATAAAGCGTCAGACAGATGACGTCTTGGGATGAGACTGTGTTATAATGACTCACCCTTATGTCGTTCCAAGCTCGTAAGACCTCCGTTCATCTTCGGAACACAGTTTAAGATATTTTAGATTTAGTCCGAGAGCTTTCTGTCCCTCCATTGAAAATGTATGTACGGTATACTGTCCTTGTCCAGAAAGGAAATAAAGACATCATCAAAGTAGTCCATGTGACACCAGTGGGTTAGTTAGAATGTTTTGAAGCATCAAAAATACATTTTGGTCCAAAAATAACAAAAACTACGACTTTATTCAGCATTGTATTCTCTTCCGGTTCTGTTGTCAATACGCGTTCAGTGACGCTGATGACGTAAGACGCTGCTGACGTGTTATCTGGTGCGCCCGAGCTTCGTTTACAGTCTGAGGGAGACGCACGCTGTAAACAAAACAATCTTCGCAAACATGTCTAAGGATTTCGACACAGAGGAAGACTTGCATTTTTTTGCCCAGCCATATTTATTTGAACCCGAATACACGGACCCACCAGATACACGTCAGCAGCGTCTTACGTCAGCAGCGTCACTGACAACAGAACCGGAAGAGAATACAATGCTGAATAAAGTCGTAGTTTTTGTTATTTTTGGACCAAAATGTATTTCCGATGCTTCAAAACATTCTAACTAACCCACTGGTGTCACATGGACTACTTTGATGATGTCTTTATTTTCTTTCTGGACAAGGACAGTATACCGTATACATTTTCAATGGAGGGACAGAAAGCTCTCGGACTAAATCTAAAATATCTTAAACTGTGTTCTGAAGATGAACGGAGGTCTTACGGGCTTGGAACACATGAGGGTGAGTCATTAATGACATAATTTTCATTTTAGGGTGAACTAACCCTTTAAATGTCATTTTGGTGATCAAATATGAGTTTTAAGGGATACAATTATTGACTACAGGGGGACTTAAAACACATACAAATAGTAAACGTTCATGAAGACGAATAACTGCTATGTTACGTGAGCTTAACCACGATAGAGATGATTATCAAAAACGGTAACAATAAAAAAACAGCAATTGAACTGCAACTGTGATAGATCATGGCGACATTTTAATGTTTCACAATCTAATATGGTCATATCGCACACCCCTACTTTAAATGCATGTTGTTTCGTTCTCTGCAGCTCCTCTATGGCCACCGCAAGTTGCTGCCACTGTCAGCCAGGCTGGACTCTTGGCGCACACGTACGCCCTGCAGCAGGCACCAGCTTACAGCCAATGTGCGACCGTCCAAGCGCCCATTATCGGCGTGACCCCAGCGCTCCACACTCCTCACCCACAGTTACCCGCACACTACCAGCTCCCGCAGCAGCCTTCACAGCCGATGGCCAGCATGGTCCTCAATGTCCATAGCCAATCCCTCGCTGTCGGCGGCCTGCCCCCAATGCCCAGCGTCTGCCAGGTCGCCCATCCCGTCCACACGGTGGTGGGCAACGGTCACCTGACCCACCCCATGGTGCAATCTGCCGCCATGACCTCCTCCACACTGCCCACCAACGGACCTCTGACGAATGGCCAGCAGGAGAATACCAACAATGGCCTGCAGATGCTGAGAACTGTCGGACTGGGGAAATATGAATTTACAGACCCCTGGCATCCCAAAGGTAAATTATGTTTTGGTTCGGGTTTTCTAGACATTATAATGTCAAGTCAAAAATGTGTTTGTTTAGTGCTTTTCACATTACTTCAAATCAGCTTTATAGAAAATCATGATGTTGATGTTTATAATATCTTAGGTTATAGCTGGGCAATAAAATAGCTTATATTTTGCAATTATACAAGCAATCAAGTAGTATGGATTCGCTAGAATATATTGTTTTACGTGAGTGTACTGTGTATGCGGACAAAGTTGGGTGTAATAAATATCCAACTTTATATGCAGAGCTGTGCGATAATACTGTTTACATTTTGTGATGATATAAAAATCATGCAGCTCGAGATTTGCTATACAGTCTATATTACTTGATGTGAGTGTATTGTAATCATGCAAGTAGGATTTACTATATACACTCACCTAAAGGATTATTAGGAACACCTGTTCATTTTCTCATTAATGCAATTATCTAATCAACCAATCACATGGCAGTTGCTTCAATCCATTTAGGGGTGTGGTCCTGGTCAAGACAATCTCCTGAACTCCAAACTGAATGTCAGAATGGGAAAGAAAGGTGATTTAAGCAATTTTGAGCGTGGCATGGTTGTTGGTGCCAGACGGGCCGGTCTGAGTATTTCACAATCTGCTCATTTACTGGGATTTTCACACACAACCATTTCTAGGGTTTACAAAGAATGGTGTGAAAAGGGAAAAACATCCAGTATGCGGCAGTCCTGTGGGCGAAAATGCCTTGTTGATGCTAGAGGTCAGAGGAGAATGGGCCGACTGATTCAAGCTGATAGAAGAGCAACTTCGACTGAAATAACCACTCGTTACAACCGAGGTATGCAGCAAAGCATTTGTGAAGCCACAACACGCACAACCTTGAGGCGGATGGGCTACAACAGCAGAAGACCCCACCGGGTACCACTCATCTCCACTACAAATAGGAAAAAGAGGCTACAATTTGCAAGAGCTCACCAAAATTGGACAGTTGAAGACTGGAAAAATGTTGCCTGGTCTGATGAGTCTCGATTTCTGTTGAGACATTCAGATGGTAGAGTCAGAATTTGGCGTAAACAGAATGAGAACATGGATCCATCATGCCTTGTTACCACTGTGCAGGCTGGTGGTGGTGGTGTAATGGTCTGGGGGATGTTTTCTTGGCACACTTTAGGTCCCTTAGTGCCAATTGGGCATCGTTTAAATGCCACGGCCTACCTGAGCATTGTTTCTGACCATGTCCATCCCTTTATGGCCACCATGTACCCATCCTCTGATGGCTACTTCCAGCAGGATAATGCACCATGTCACTAAGCTCGAATCATTTCAAATTGGTTTCTTGAACATCACAATGAGTTTACTGTACTAAAATGGCCCCCACAGTCACCAGATCTCAACCCAATAGAGCATCTTTGGGATGTGGTGGAACGGGAGCTTCGTGCCCTGGATGTGTATCCCACAAATCTCCATCAACTGCAAGATGCTATCCTATCAATATGGGCCAACATTTCTAAAGAATGCTTTCAGCACCTTGAATCAATCACACGTAGAATTAAGGCAGTTCTGAAGGCGAAAGGGGGTCAAACACAGTATTATATGGTGTTCCTAATAATCCTTTAGGTGAGTGTATATATATATATATAACATTTTAAAATATTGCTGGCTGATAATATATATATATATATATATATATATATATATATATATAATGATACATTTTGACAATATGACAATCAAGCAGTTGAGATTTGCTATTTAGTATGTTTTATGTTTTGTTGCTCTGTGGTCCAGGTAAGGCACTCCTTTAGTCTCCAAAAAAATCACTCGCAATCTTTCACCTTCACAACTTGTTGATCTTCAATATATTTATTACTTTCATGCCTTTCACTTTCCAAAAGCCCCCCTTATTCATCACCACCTACAAGATGAGAAGAGTTGGGGTTGATTGCTTTTCATTTCCTTTTGTTTTTCTTTCCTACCGTGCCAGTGGAAGTTTGTAATGATTTTATGAATTTCAAGGATTATAGTTTTTCTGATGTTCGGCAACATCCAGGAATGATTGTGAAGATCAAATAGATTTACTGGGCAGTGGATGCTTCTACAAAATTCTTGGTGGGTCTAAAAATATCTGAAATAATTTCCATATAAATGGAAACCTTATGTAAATAGTGTACATTAATTTCAGTTTATATATCAACATAGTTGAGACAGGCAAGTTTAATGTACCATAGCTAATTTCTTAGGAATGATTTATTAGGGGAAATAAACTCGTGCTGTTTGATGTAACTCGAATAAGTCTTAACTTTTCTTTTTGGTTTCTTGTTCTTTAGATTAGATTTGTATGATTATTCAAAAGAAACCAGTGTATGGTTATTGTGTTATATTGTGTCCTAAAGCTCTAAAATCGGCCTGATTTTCTAGCCAGCCACAGGCAGAAATATATTTTTATTTCTCCCTGTATTGAATGTCATGTTGAATCTCATGAGGTATTCATCTTCTGAAGAGGAGAGAACATGAGGCGAGTTTGCTGCCCATTTATCTGTTTGCATGATGATAGGAAATCAGATGCCAAAGACTAGTTCATTAAATATTGATAGTTTCTACTGAAATTTACAGATTCAGTAGAACTGGACATTAGTGTAAACAGAAATGGCATCACAAGCCATTTTACTCTCACTGGTTTGTGTAAAGTGGGTGTTTCATACCAGAATATGGCCTGAATGTGAGTTTACTTTATTGCCAGTTTTAGAAAGACTGAAGAACTTTAAACTAGAGTTTGCAACTAACAACTGTTTTGTAGACATCAATGGGTTTAGGTGATAATTTTGAGACGGTAGCATCAGAAATGTAGAAATGAGTCTGATTAACGATTAAAGTCAAGTTCACTGAAAAACATCTGTTGTAGGATTTGCTTAGAAACATTTTTCGCTCAGAAATTATTTGTAAATATCACAAATAATTACAAAGAAATGACAGGTTAAATTAAATGTAACATTTTGAAGTAGAAAGACTGAAATAGTATTTTCTTGCAAAACATACTCCAATAATCTTTACGGTGTAGAAATGGTGGATTTTTTTCAAGGAGATTAGTGAAAACAGAACATATGACAAGTTTGATGCTCTGATTTAGACCTTGGCATTTGACTAATCCTGTGAAATGGACAGATACATAGATTTATCTCAAATTTTGGCTGTTCTACAGCAAACTAATGGTTGTACAGAACAGGACAAGCTAGACATGTTAGCAACCAAGGGACATGTGCAGTTGTAGGGAGTGGGGTAGATTGGTGCACATATTTTCCAGATATGGCCAGGACAGATCTAAAGGAAGGATAATGTCTTGCAAGATGGGTTGGTAGTGTTTTTTTACATTTACATTTTTTTTGCATTTGGGAATCTTTTTTATCAAAAGTATTGCATTCAAGGTTTTCATTTTACTCATCAAAATCAAAATCAGAATCAAAACCCATGACCTTGGCATTTCTAGCCCTTTGCTTTGAGCTACAGAATAGCTTGTGGAGTAACATTCTTACTGATAATGTTGGTGCAATTGGACTCAGGTCTAGCTGACTATCTCTTTAAAACCAAACCATAAGTCTGTTTAATTAATCTAGAGTTCTCATTTCTCCGTTAGTGTCAAGTTCAGTCTTAATTTATAACCTCCATTTCTGTTTATCAAACCCCTTGTGCTGCTATGGGAAAGCGTATCTCTGACAGGTCGGGTTTAGGATGAATTATCACGGCTTTATCTCTCTAAACAGTAAAAGCTGCTCCACGCAGCTTGATCTGCTCTTTCAAGAACACCAGAGATGTCCATCAGAATCTGACTTGATCCTACTGATTAGTGCCTTGACTTAGATTACTTGCATTGATTTTTAGTAGCGTTTGCCAAGTCAAGCTGTACTATCATTGCTTATATTTAGAGTTAGTGATTGAATGCAGAGTTGACCTCTTTTCCCCCCATACTGTATTTGAATTACACGTTCAACACAGTGCATTGTATTCATGTAAGTGAATATGTAATTGATGAAATCTAAAGTGAAATATTGAGGTTGAAAATGTGTCTCCCTATAGATGTGAGAGCGTGTTAATTGCTTCACACTGATGACATCTGTTTATTTATGTTAGGGGTGTGCGATATCACAATTTTGGATGATTAAAATGTCTCCATGATCTTCCTTTGAAGAGAGATCATAGTATCTTCCTACTGGGCACTTCTGATTTCGTCCTTCAGCAATTGATTGGGTCGTAGGAAGTTGGCCGTTACTAACTATATGGAGGCAGATCTAAATGCCAGTTTGCAGTCAGTTATGGAGGATATAGCCTCACCCTCCTCCGATACACACGCCATGAAGAGAACAGACATTTTGAGGTGGAGGAGAGGTTGATATTTTTGATTAAAGATTGCCAGGGCATATGCAATTAATAAATAATAATAATGATGATGTGGATAAATAGTTTGTAATATCATTTGGTTTCTCTGACCAATATATATTTTTTATATCTGTATATTTTCTATATCTGCTGTCATATATCTGTATCTCTGTATCTGTCATGATTATGAACTTTCATTTTGTTATCATCAGTTTCCTTTGTTCTTAGTTTGTCTGACTTGACCTGGTTTCTCAGTTTTTTTGATTAGTTTCATTCGTTGATTTCATTCACCTGTTGTCATTTAATTATCTAATTTCCCTGGTGTATTAATACCTCCTGTTTGGTTCAGTTCAATTTCGATCATCGTCAGTGTTAAGTTGGTTGTGTTAGTTTTCCCACTGTAATCCTGCGAGTTTCTAATTAAAGACTGTTTCTGAGTTTCCTATGTTTAGTCTAGTCATTTTAAGCCAAAATGGGGGTCAACCTTGAACAAATTGCAACAGAAGCAAACTCAACTGATTTTGTATCCTCAATATGTCCTGAGTAAGGAAAAAAAAGCCCTGAAGAATCCCATTAGGGGAAAGTTTAGAAAAAGACCCAAATATATCCCATTCATACGCCTATTCATTCTTT